GAGTTTGATAAGGACATAGTCTATGCTTAATTTGTCATGACAACTGATGTTAAAACTTGTGGATGTTTCTTATACTCACCAGTGCATGCTCTGGTACTTCCCATCTTTACCACTAATTGAGATGGAGACATCATAGCAGAGAGGCTCTGAGAAGCTGGGGTCATCCTCCTTGCTGTCATTCTCACTTTCTGGCTTGGTGGGCGCACTCCAGCTCACTGTTGCTCCTCTGGCCTCGATGTCTGACACCTATCACAAGAAAATACATTGGATGAGTATCAAGTTATTCCTTCTTCACAGTATCTGCAGACTCTTAAAATACTGTCAAATTAATAATTTCCTACAACCCTTAAAACTCAGAACCAAAACTGGTTATGGCTGGTAAACAGCCCTGCTTAGAAGTCTTAAAAACGTAAGCATTTCTTATTCTTGCATTTTCCAAAACAAACATATTGCTTGGTAGTGGAAAAGAGTGTGGGATCAAAATATGCAAACTGACAGTGCATTGGGAAAAAGGTTTTCAGCTTCTGGCAGGGATGAGCTGTGCAACCCTAAGATTTTTTTTTCCATTCTGTTTGGAGAAGATTTAAAAATAGGTTGAGCTACTCTGCAGGGGGGGGATTCATATGTGGAAGAACTCAATCAGGTCAAGTCTGTACCTCCTCCCCTCTGCCCTGCAGGCCCACCTTAGTCTTTTTCCTTCCCGCAGTTTGACTCTCTGTTGAGTAACGGACCAGTATGGCAGCAAAGAGCTGAACTTCCCCAGTATTCTGTTAACTTTATCTATTATATTTCCAACCGAGTTGTTTTTGCTACTTTTACAAGGAGCTCAGACGGTACCAACGGTGACAAATCTTATCTTATAAGGTCAAGCAAATTCTATTTGCAGTTCTACTAATTCTGACCCAGCTGCTATTGAACAGCCATTCTCGTCTTCATTTATCTACAAAGCTGCTGGGCAGCTGAGAACCCAACACCATTTTAAAATAGCAATTTCAAAGGATAAAATGTATCTAGTATGAATATTTCAATCAGATAATTTTGCAACTATAACATTTAATCATGTATTTTGGTGCAAAACAAATGGCTTTCTCATGTATAGAATCTAACTATGTGAGAGCCAGGGGAAAAATGTGTTTAACACAGAGTAAACCAAACCTTTCAGTACTTTTATAAATGCTGCGGCACAATTGGGAATAAAAATCCCCACATGGATGGTAGTCAGCAGGTCTGACTCCATTAGCAAGATGCTAAGTAAGAATTCATCGAGGTTGTTAATAGAATGTTTAATGATGCAACATTGTAGCATCATTACAGTTTCATTTTTTGTTAACGGAATCACATAAATTCATGCAAACTGCATTAATTAGATTAAAAAAAGAAAGAAGTAAACACCAACCTCTGGTTTATTGATGGTGCTCAAGAGCGCTTGTAGGGCCTGCGCCTCCTTGTCAAGTACTGAGGAAAGAAGAGAAAAAAGTAAATCAATTTATTAAAATACTTTAATAATAGCTACTGTTTTTACGTGCTGAACAAACAGGATGTGTCAGTACTACCAAAATCACTCTGTAAATGTCAAACTTCTTTTAAATTAATGATTACAGATCAACCTTCTGTTAGTTACTACCCTTAAGCTTTAAAGACTTAAAGAAAACTATCAAGTGAGGAATTCAGATATTTCTAAGCTGTGAAAATAATTCTCTAACTGGATCTTGAAAAATATTGTAACTATTTTTTAAATGCTTCATTATTAGTAGTGGGTTGTTTTTACATTGTAGCAATCTCCATCAGGTCACAATGTGAAACTATTCTTCCTGCACATTAAAACATGACTGATTAAATAGTATCACCTTTGCCCAGCTGTTGTTTTCCCAAATACCATGCTAAAACCCAAAACTAAAACTCGTGATAAACCTCCACCCTTTAATACTCTTACCTGCTGACTCTCCAATTTTTCGCTTGCCTGTCTGCTTGTCAGGAGAGGACACTGTGTGCCTAAGTTGCCCCTGCTCTGCCTCCAGCCCTTTCCCTCCAATACCGTTATGAATGTCCACCGTTGGGGGACTGTTGCAGGACTTCTGTGGTGACGAGGGAGGGCTGTCCTTCACCTGCCCTCCTCCTTGACGCTCCTTCAGTTTCTTCTGCAGACGTTCATGTGTTTTGTTAGTTCTGTCATCTCTGTGAACCAACGATGGACGTCCATGTTGGGAGTGAGAATCTGTAGAGACTGTAGCACAAACACATTATTCTTATAAGATGGACATGCAAATGCACATGATGATAGTGAAGTAATTCTCTTAGATTAAGCAACTAAAAGAGTAAGACTTGACTCATGCCATTAGTGTGTAACCAGCCTCTCCAAATAAAGTGCTGAGAACAAATACAAAACAAAACAAAAACAACACAACAAGTATAACAGTATATCCAGGGACTCCTGACTCCAACTCACCCTGCTCCGGGTAAATATGAGCTGGATGGTACTGAGAGATGTACTGGGAGCTCATGTCGCCCACGCCCCCTGCCATGCCTGTATACAGGTGATGTGGAGGGGGCATCATGGCAGGGTGTGGGATGAAGGCAGGCAGGTGGGCATGGGGTGGTGGAGGAGGATGGTGGAGAGGGGAGTGCCCCCCTGGGTGGAACTCTGGTTGCTGAGGTAAAACCAGAACCCGCCGCACTCCGTTCTCTTCTATGATCTAAGGGGGAAAAAACAATAGCATTGAAAGCAGATATCAAAGCTACTCTCAGAATGATAAGATGCCAATCAGAAACACTGAGACGGAAATAGCGCATGAATGGCTACCTGTGAAATGTATCCAGGAGGCACATAGATTGGAGGCACTGAACCATTTGGAGACATCATGGGAACCTGAGCAGGACCTACGAAGAAGTTAGAAAGGCGCAAGATCAAACACCTTCCCTCAGGATAAACACTGTCATACACGGGGCTTAAGTTTAATACAAGCCCAACAGCTATGGCAAACCAGAACCACAATCCACAAATGTAGCACATTTCCGACATGCCACGCAGCAATGAATGAGTGATCCAAAACTAAGCCAGAGCCCCCAATTTACATTTTTTAACTGAAGGGTCAGGGCTTTATTTACAGAAGACGGCACTCAATAAGTAAAGTCAACAATGCGGCCATTTACCTTCAAACTTCTATAGAAATAATAAACATGCTTTACTTAAATCTAAGTCAGAAAAACTTCTCACATTCAGCTACTTATAATTCCCATGCACAGGCAGTTTTAACTAAAGCTGCACCTCTGTAAGAGGAATATCCCCGCATATGATTTGTTTTTCTAAACCAGATGCATTTTCAATAAGTATTTTCTTAATACCTATGAGAAAAAAGGCCCAAAACGCATTTTTAAAAATCCTGGCAAATGCAAGAAAACCACTTTCCAAAAGTGCTGAGGAACAAGGTTTCCTGCTCTGTTGTGGGGGGCAGTTCAACGGCTTAGCTCAGCTCAGAGAAGAGACAGCTCAGCAAAAAGCCTTGGAGAAAGAAAGAGACCTCTCAGCCAAGTTTGCACAGTCACACATTTCTCTTCTTACAGACCAAAGACAAACCCCCCCAATGCCATATGTCATGGAGGAGAGCAAAAGAGATTGCTTGATTAAGCATTTTCACTCATTTTGTCAAAAGAGTAATAAGAGGTGAAAGCTATTCTAATTCTAACGCGTCTAGGACTATAGCCTACCACACTCCCACTAACACTTAGCACTGCCCTCCTTCAGCACTAAGTCCAGCCTCCAGGTCTCACGGAAGATTAACAGCAGGTACGAGCACAAATAGGAACAGCTGCCAGTTTGCCAGCTACCTGTTTTGGATATTTCCACCACTATTACTTCCAAATAACAGAAGCATTGCCGTTAATACATTCGGCACCAAATTACAGTAACTGTGAGGTTGTTGCTTTAGACTGCAGTAGCATTTAGTTAAGTGTAAACAGATAAAATCTCAACACAGAATAACAGGTCCAGAGTTCACAGTTGTAATCAGCAGCCCAACACAGAGGCGGGTAATGTTTGAGAGGCAGTCGAGCAACTTTGTTTTGTGAGAAAAGTAATGCTGCACCATTGAAGCTGACACAGCAGTCTTTATCTGTGTAGGTCAATCCGTGTGTGAATGTTGCACAGCTTTGGTGATTTTGCTGTTGCTATCAGGAAAGGAAGTAAATGTGATCATTTCTATGCTTGTATATTATTCTACAGGCTGTGGGAGAAATGTGAGAGGGGAGAAAAATCATGAATACATGATAAGAGAAGGTAAATTTCCATATGGGTAGACAGAAATGTTAACTTTAATCTATAGCTGATCATGAGGCGTTTGCATCAGTTTACAAAGAAAAGTAGTACGACAGCTTAGAATTGCATCATACTCACATCCCCTTTCTGGTATTATTTGCTTTACAAGGGTTACAAAGAATTTTACCCCACTGACCCAGTGTACTGAGCCAAGACTAAATGCATCAACAGTAGCCTCCAGGAGACCCAACTACGTAAGCCCATGATTTTGCAGGGCACCTGCTCCCTGCTAATAAACTTTCTTGAATAAGACAAACAGAAGATAGGCCTTTTATACTGAAGTCAAAAGGGCAAACAGGCAGTGAGTCATTTCCCTGCCTAAGAACACAGGCTGTGCAAGGACAAAAATTCAGGTAACATGAGGATACTTTGTCTGAATGAAGCCATTCACACTGGCTCAGCCATCATAGATTTTTAGATTAACAATATAATTTGAGTAGGAGTTCAAGGGCTGCATTGTGAACTCTACTCACTTTTAAGAAAAATCTGTTATGCCACTCAGTACTAAGCAGCGCATCTGCCTAACAACTGCCGAAAGCAATTCTAGTTAGTGCCTCTGATGCTGAGGAACAGGAAATCTGATTAATCTCATTAGCATGCTATACGTTGTTCACACAGAATGAAAAGCTTTGTGTCTACCAACTTGGAGTGCATGGGCTAGAAAGTACAAGGTAAGAGAGGCAGGATAGGAGTCCACAATGTGAGAAGCAGGGTGGAAAATAGGGGGAGACACCCACTCTTTTTACATCAAACTGACGCACGCGTGCTGACAAAGATCAGATTATTTGAGAAGAAAAAAAAAAAAGGCCACATCCCCATCCCCCTCCTCCCCCTGAGTCAACCGAAGCACTGGTTGTGCTGACGTGGCCATGTAGTGCCAGCCTTCCAGAGGAAGTTGCCACAGAAAAAAGAAAAACTCATTAAGAAAAAGAAAGTATCAGTATTCCTCTAGGAGTTAAAGACTTTTCAAAATGCCACATACATGTTCACATACACAAAAATAAGCTGAGGCCCTTTGAGCACCCACCTGTTTCCTCTTGTCTTAAAATGGAGCTCAATAACAAAAACAGTCAAGCGGAACTTCACGTGCATGCTGCAAAAATACGAAACTTGGCAGACGTGGTGTTGAAATAATAGATTATAAAATTTGCTTGCTATAATACAAGCAAACTGTCATGTTTAATCCGATGTACGATGAACCCTCAATTACATTTGAAGACTACAAAGAAGCAGATAAGCTACATAGAGTCTGTCAGGGTTAAGTGTAAAAATCCGGGAAAGCATTCAGAGGGAACAACAGTCATATTTTCACATGGGCGCTCTCAATGAGCTCTCACTGGCAACACGATGAACTGTGGTCCTATAAAGATGGAGTGGGCTTGATTAATTAGAGCTAATAAATTGTCTCTATCAGCAAATAAAGAGGAGAGTTAGGGTAGGCAAGGGAATGCAAGCACATTTACTGACAGTGGATAATAATTACACCCAAGCAAGGGGAAAGGAAGTACTGAACTGTCAATAATCCCAAAAAGTAATAATTAGAACTTAAAACCATAACCTGAATTTTTAGTGATGACACTGTGGCAAATGGTTCCCTTTTTTGCATGATATAGCATTTTTCTTTTAGGCGGGAAATATCTTTCATCAAATTAAGAAGGCAGTAATTTATAACAAGCGCAACATTTTATTATCAGATTATAAAGCCTGCATGTGTACACCCATCCTCAGACACGGTGCTGATCCAAAATATGCCTGCTAGCATCCAACCATCACCAATCTATCCAGATAGAGGAGGAGAAAAAAAGGAGAGGGAACTGTGCAAACCAGAACTTGAGGAAGCTGTAAACAATTGAACATTTTAAGAAAAAATAGACATTTTCTTGGGTATTTGTAAAGTTAATCTGAATATCCTAAAAATGTTAAGGCATCTGCGTGATTCTTGCAGCCCCCACCGGTATGAATGACGTTTACAGGAAGGGAGGGAGTCAGTAACCTTCATGCTTGTGCTTATTACAGAACATCAGAGGCTTATACTGCTGTAAGCCAGACTAAACCAGAACAAGAGAGGGGCCATGACTCCAGGGGGCACTTTTTTGTAAATAATGAATTATCTGACTATGTTCAGGAAATAAAGATTCCACTTTAAAACCAGTCTCCTCCTGACATAAAGTTATGATGTCTGATATGATAATTTCACAAACACAAAAACGGCTTAAGAGACATGCAACCATCTTATTGCTATGGACATCCCCCCACTGCCTAAACGGGGGTGGAGGGTGGGGTTAAGTTGACCCCCCTCCCCCAATCATATCCTCTTTACCCTTTTTCCCTTGGTATCAACGCAGCAGCGGGAGAATGACTCACAAGCTCAGTCATTCTTAGAGCTACTCACTGCAGAAGCTGTGAATGAACTGTCTGCATCCCCATGTTTGTGTACATGTCCTTGGAGTTAGGTGGGGGAGGTGATGAGCATAAAAATAGTGCTGATGTGTTTGATGTTTGCAGCCCAATCCTGTAAACCATATGTGATGGCTGTGGTTTGGGAGAGGGTGTTGTGTATGAAAAGAAGTCCAACTACAGCTGTTCACATGGGTTTTAATTTTAAATGATGCAATTCATCCAAATTTCTGTTTATTTCCAGTTAAAATAATAGGCTGACCACTGGTTGCTGGTAGACTGTGCCACCAGCAACCGTTTCATGATGGCCTTAGCTACTCAGTCGAAGACTGAGTAACGTTGGACCAATGTTGCACCAATTACGATGGGTTCATTCATTACCATCGTTTCATTCTAAACATTTCTAGCGGCCACTTCTTCTGCCACCATTTTTTCAGGTAGACAGGAGGAGAATGCTTTAATTTGAAGAGACAAACTGCCTAAGTGCAGGCACACCAGTTTAAATTTCAGCAACAGCATTAGACACTAGTGTAGATTACATCATAGACTCCATATAGATTTAACACTGAAGTATAAATTACACCTAAAGAGGTGGTGGGAAATTAAGCGGCGACAGAAAAAGTATAATCCATATTTGAAATTCTCATTTAATGTTTTTTTTTCCTGTTGTTGGGGGGGAAATGTGATGGTTACATACATACAGTTTACTAGGGTATCTGAAACAGTTTTTCCGAAGGTTAGTATGCACTAACAAGCTCAAAAAATTCAAGTTGATGATACTGCAAGTGAAGTGGATCAAATTAACTCAACCCCAAAAACTTAAATGATAAGAATTATTTTCGTAGAACTTCTTGAACATAAATTGTCATCAAAACAGTCTCAAAATGGACTACACCATAGTAGACAGTGTAGACAGTTTAAGGCACAGGATATGATAGATGTAACTTTCTTCAATAGGGAAAAAGAAGGACTAAAGACACCTGCAGATCATCAGAAATGAAGTGAAGTGAAGTGTTTCATAGCTGTGAGACAGCCTCGGCAGAGATAAGGGACACGTAAGCAGAAGGACTGAATAATCAAACTGAGTAAGGTGCGTGTCTGCTCAGTAACATGAAGGTCTGTGCACACTATTTTTAGCTTCCTGTCACAATACCAAAATGACAGATTTTTTGTGAAAAATGGCAAATCACTATCAGGTTCAATAAGCTCCGTAGAACTAGACAGAGCTTTATGCCATAAACCACTGACTGAATCATCCAAAGTGATGGTGAATCACCGCAAGGCTATATCACATAAAGAAGTGGATCTAATCAACCTAGTGGTCCTGAAGCTGACTTGCCTCATCTGTCACCAAGCTTATCAGGTGGCTACAGATTCCAGTGATGCAGCTTTCTTCATCTACGTCTAGATTTGGCATCTAGAAGTAGGTAAAGAGAAAGCCAAATTAGGGAGTGCTGGCCTGAAACTGTGAGGGCATGTCCACTCTCCTTGTGGCAAGAAAGTTACCCAACACAAGCACAGTAAATGGCCACTCCAATTAGATTCTATCATCTCAGGTCCCGCCTCCAACTTAGCAAAAAGGCAAACGCCTTCTATAAACAACCATTTAACAAGACTGTGCATTCCTATTAACCTGGCTGCCATGCCCTAATGTGCACAATTTCTGTGTGTTAAGCTGCTAAAAATATGTGAATATATGAATACACAAAATGATGTCGTATAAAGCAAAAAGTGCGTAAGCCAGATCCTTTTGGCTTTGTGATACCATCATACACACCAGGGTTAAAGATAGAAGCATACACGTGCACATTAAACACTTAAGTGAACAGAGATATTGTTGTGTTGTATGGGTTGTTCTGAATAAACAAGGGAGGGGGAAAAGCAAAACAAAAAACAACCCAATCAACCAGCACATACATGCATGCATGCATGCATGCCTGCAAGCACAAACAGACACACACACACACACACACACACACACATACACTTCTTCCTCCCTCCTTGCACTGCAAGCGGTGAGTCATCCCTCTATTCACGTCACAGAGAGATGAGTGCACCCTGTGACAGGCCAGTTAGTAGCAGTCACACTGATCTATGTGGCACCTCTCAGCTCCTTGTTTCTCCTCTGATGGAAACTATGCATGCTTGCTCCCTATTAGGAAGGTTTACTAAGCTCATAATGGGGGACTGGTGTGAGAACTCAGAAGAGAGGAGTAGGGAGAAGAGCCCCTGCTGTGAGCACACTGTATTATGGCTTCCTAGCTGGGCAGTATCACTTTCTATAACTCCTTTGTCATTTAACTATAGATCCCTGGGGCATGTCATCTAAAAAAAATTTCTATATTCCACATGGTATAGACAAAAGGCCCAGACACAATGAGACAGTAAGCAGCAGTCTATATGGAAATCATTAAATGTGTCCTACAATGCTGAATGCCTTTAATGGGGTCACAAAGGGTATCAGAAATTAATCACACTATGTTAACATCTTTTTCTTTATCATATCAAATTCACAATTGGAGAGAGAGAGAACACAAGAGTGGCTATGAGCTCGAGGAAATGTCAATACAGGGCAGGATGTCCCGTGTACCAAGCCATAAACAAAGCAAATCATTTTCAGATCAATGTTTTCTCCAGGCAACTACAATTTATCATTTATAATTATGGTACCACAATGCTCCATCCTACAAATACGCTGGCACTTTTCCCCCCCTCCTTCACACTGTCAGCAACACGTTAGGGCTAGACTTCATTGTTGCTGTCACAATGCCAGCGTAATCACCAACAATTGTGGAAAAGGAAATGCCATCAGGACAAATAAGCATGAGTAACACATCTTACTCAAACATCTTTTGCCCCAAGTCCTCTACTAAACACTGTAATTATGCCATATTTTTCTTTTACATTATGATATATAGATTACAGATGCACCATTCATCAGGACAATTGATTTTTAATGAGATGAGGGAGAAGAATATAAAGAGAACAAAATTACATATTAACTGAGCGTAATCAAGCATTTCTCATGCTAGATTCGTATAAATAATGCACATTTTGTTAACGTCTTTTTTGTTAGTTTGTTGTGTTAAACAATAGGCTCACTCATTTTTAAGTCTTCTAAAAACAGTACATGTGATCGTATGAGTGCACAAAACCGGTTTTGCTTGCTTTAATCACTGCTCCTGTTTACAATGGTCACAGATCTCTTCCTTATGTGTAATTCAAGTGATGAGGGACAAAGTCTGAAGGCTTTGATTAAAAAAAAAAAAGCTCTCTTCTAAAGTTCAGCAAACGTAACAGGAGCGTTCAGCAGTCTGAGTTTGACAAGTCAAATGAATACCTTCCAAACTAACTGTACTTTTCAGTAGGCATCTAATTCTTCATGTTACACTCTTGCTGCCATATTGACAAGGAAAACAGTGTCCAGATGAAGAAAATAAAGAACTTCATACTTAAACCACAGTACCTTTGGGAGATACCCATTTGATTCAACAGTCTCAGACTGCTGAAGCCTCTTATTAACTCCAGAAATAAAGTTTAGGAAATCTTTTGAAAAGGAAGGGGAAAACTGGTGGTTTTGTCCCCCTTCACTTGGTATGGTAGAAAAAGATATTTAAAGACAGATGGAATGATTATAGTAAACAAAACAACCCTTTAACAATGCTTGCATGACCACATGTACATCACATACTACAAAACAGGAATCTGTCCTTTAAGCATGTTTAACAATATTTGTCTTAAAAACATTTTGTCATATGCCATTCTTTGAACTAGTCGCTGTTGTAACTGAAACTATACATGCAATTATGGCACTGAGCAAGCTGAGAGCTATGACACATGACTACCATTCTGATATTTTTTTAGTAAAAATACGTCACTGCATCCTCACCGACTTCCTCTCTTTCAAGGCGAAAAAAACCAAGCTGAATGACTCCACATAAAGGAAATAACTGACAAGAACAGAATCTGTGTTAATCAGATTACCATATCCTGAGAAAAAAAACGCACTCATCAAGCACTTTATTAACACTACTGCAACCCTGTAATTCAATACAACCCCTCCTTTAGTAATTTTTCCACCCTATTTACATACGTAACGGTGGAAAATATTATGCATGCTTTAAGATATGAAGCAGTTAAATGTACCACTACCAACCACCATGACTTAAATGACGAACATAACAGTAGAATGATCAGATTTACCAGCCCAACTTTGACTTTAGGCTCAACTTAATCTCCCTTTGTCCTACTCCCCTCTAGGTCTCTAGTTTTCTCAAGGCTAAGTTTATGCAAACATTTCAACTTTCATTTTCTCTTTGTAAACATGATGCAAAGTGAAGATTAATATGATTATCTGACAGCCCCGCCTTCTCTACCAAATGCCAGAAAAGGCTCTTCAGTTGAGCATCAGTCATGCAGGTGCCTTATTTTTCATTAGCTGTTGATGATTTCTGCTGCAAATGAATTAGTTTGAAGCTTTAACATTTTATATGTATTCATATGTACGAGGTGATGATGAAACTTAATTAAACCTTGATCTAATACTGTTGCCGTGTTATCTATGCAGAAAACACATAGTCAAACAACACCTAATTATCGCTTTTTAAAATGCTGGGGAAACTATTGTATTCCAAAAATAGATTAACAGATGACATTGTATGAACTAATTTTCAAAGGCAAAAAACAGAGAACTGAGAAAATACTTTTTTTTTGTCTCTATGCATTAATGAATAAAGATGGGTGAAAAACATCCAGTGAGTTAAAAAAAAGTTAAGACTGACTTAACTGAACGTTATGCCATATTAGACAACACAGATAAAAATTTAGACTAAAAAGATCAACGCTTCTTCTTACCTGTGATACACTGAAACTGACCATCCTCTCGTCGAATAGTAAAGGCCTCACCTGGGTTTACTTGCACCAGGATTACCTGTGAGAAAGCAAACAAGATGACAAACAGAAAAACATGAGTTTCAAACTCTCATTTCAGTGAAGGCATACTGAATGACCTACAAAAGTGCCATGCTTAATGAATAACTTTAAAATAATTTAACCGTCTCATACCCTAAAGAAGGTATAATTCAGGAAAGTCAAAAAGGTAAAAAACCACATAATAGTAAAAAAGAAAAAAGAAAAAACATTAAAATACAAACATCAATATGATAATATAAAATAGAATTTGCTAGAAAACAGTTTCTCGCCACAGCTAAATCTAATGTACAGGAAAGACAAATTTGTTGATTAAGAAAAGACACAGCTACGTAGCCTACAATGAGTCACACTGCTTATGTCATTTACAAAAGACCAGAAAAAAAAGCAAAAAAACAACCAAGAAAGCACAAACTAAAAAGCACATTTTGGTCTGCAAAGACATTTCCAATCACCTTCCAGGTCTCTGACAATACAACTTTTCTTTTAAGAGCTGCATCCAAAGTATTATTGTAAGTTTATAACAATCATTTTTCTCCTTTCAATTAAATAACAGGTTAGCTTAGGTTAGAAAATGAAGATATCAAGATCACAAACTGATTATTCCGTTAACTTGTCTTTTTAAAGTCTGAAACATGCGCAACTAGGCTTTTGTTGCCTGGCACTATGTGTGGGAGCTAGTTACCTCACTCTTGTGGAAGTCGCTGTCATAGAATCTACACTCCTCTAGCAAAGGCCTTTGACTATGGTTCTCTTCAAGCACTGAAATCATCAGCACCTCCATCTCTGACACTGCTCCCATTCATGTGCTCAGCAGGGAGAGGAAAGAGCCCTTTGCCTGCCACACAGAGCCTCATATGTCCATACAAACCCACACAAGCAGCGTCAGCAGCAAGCGTAGATGATGGAGGTGGTGGGAGGGGCAAGGGAGGTCTAAGTGAATCAAAGTCTCGCTACTTCAGAGACGGCTGCATGTGTATGTTTGTTTTACACTCTCTTTGATTTGAAGCAAACATGCTTTGTAGGATATTGCCTCCCCCATTTAATTTTACACTGGAAATTACTGTTGTAATCAATACTGTGACATTCACTGCCAGCCAATAAAAATCAAACAAAGGAAATTTTGCTTGCGAAAGATTTGACTGCTACTTACTGTTGCCCGCATTGCTTTTTCTCATTCAAGCGTCTCTGTTCACGCAGTCACAGAAAGGAAAAGATGCTCCAGGGTCTATCAGACCCTCCACCATTTCACCCAACCCTCATGAGAAATCACATGACCTGCGATGCTAACACATCTGGCTAGGATGTTTTCTTTTAACATCCTCCACTTCCATGAACTCCTGCATAAAGTCCAGGAAGAAACTGACAAGATGCGAGGAGTGCAGTAATATGGAGATCGGTCTCTTGCGCTGGACGTAGCATTTACACAAAGTAGTTCATAAATCTCATGCTTGCTTAGCGTGGTTCAGCCGCATCTGCTCAAACAGCGTCTCTCTCTGCAGCAGGCGGCTTGTTCACTTTCGCCTCTGGCTCTAGTGCAGCCTCCCTACCGTCAGTATCCACAGCAACCCCTTCAACAAATAAGCCACAGCGATGTCCACGCCAAACCTTCACAGAAGGGATTGAAACGTTATCAGCAGTAGCCACTCTCCGGAAAAGGAGGCAGATGAGCCCAAGAAATCAGGAGCAAAAATAAGGAGGACTTTAGATGATGCCTCAGTTCCCTCTCCAGTTCCCTTCTTGACTCTGTGACTGACTGCGTGCCAGCTCAGTTAACGCCTGCTGTGCTCCTTAATATGGTTAATTTCAAGAGCATTCCATCAGGGTGTGATCATGGCACAGCTGAGCCGGCAAAGGTATAAGGGGTCCACAGCATGGGGAGTCCTTTGTTCTCTCTTTTTCACAACAACAACAACAATGGCGTGAGGGAGCTGAGCGACCCACGCAGCTTCTGAGGCTGACATATACGACTACGCTACAGTCCCTTTCCCTCGCCCTCCCTTCTCTCCCTCCCCCTCATACTCTCCCTGTCTCTCTCTCCCATTCACAGAGCAACATCCTCTTAATACTCCGATCAATTTGAGCGGAGATGAGGTGGTAGGAGTTCAACTGCAGAGCTCCTGCATTTGTGACAATTCCAGCCTCGTGTCATTTGTGCTGTCTTTAAAGATCAGAAAGCAGCAAAAATGAAACAAAACCGAAAGATTATTTGTATAGTGACACAACGCACACAGCTTGCAAGTACTCAGTGCTTTACTAACATCTGTCCTCATTTACTCCAAATGGATCGTTCCTTAAAGCGACAGTGCTGATCACTTGATCAGCGTATGTCAAGTTACCCGATATTCTGCGTCACTGACACTGCTGGACAAAGAGTACAACAAACTCTTCCACAAAACAAAAATCACACAATCTGACTGTAAAACATTAAAATAAAATAAAAAAAACACTTCAGAGAAACAAAAGGTAAACTTTAGTTTATGCAGTTCACACACACTAAAAAGAAATGGATATAATCATTAGGCTGACACTCTTTGAATTATGCCTGCAGGAAATAATTTTCCTGCAGGCAGTTATGGACTAAAGCACAAAGTGAAATTTGAATAGTGAACCTTTAGCTTGATTTCACTTGCCTTTTTAAAAAAAAATTAATCCAAAATATTGCAGTCATTCAACCATGCAATTTGTAGACATTATTGTGTGTCCACACAAAATAATTATGGACAGCTGCTTACTAAGTGGAGAGTGACTACAGTGCAAAAAGGCAAAATCTATTTATTCATCTGTAATTATCTATCCTTCATCATCCTCTGAATTTAAAACAAAATAAAACAAAACTGAAAACATCATCTTGCCATTAGTGAAACAAGCAAATGGATTTGGTGCGTTTGTTTTGAGACCTTAGAACCTGTCACATATACAAGGAGCAGAAAAAAAAACCTACTAGTTTGAGAATAACTACATCTAACATTTTTAATGCATAAACTGACTTTGCAGAATTGG